AAGAAGCCTGCCACGGCCATACAGTTTGTAAGCAATATAAGTCTCTGTGTTTACTTGGTTGGGTCTGAGCGGCTGTGGGACTGGCAGGTGACAGAGATTTGTCCTGACTGTGGGCCAGGCAGGAAAACTCTAGCTACATGTGAGGGCCGGGGTCAAACGTAACAAAAGGAGATCAAGAGGATGCAAGTTGGAAAGGAAGAAATCAAACATTCGCTACTCGCAGATGATATGATAGAATACATAAGTGACCCCAAAAATTCTACCAGGGAACTCCTACAGCTGATAAACACCCTCAATAATGTGGTGGGATGCAAGATTGACTCAAAAAAATCAATAGCCCTCCTATATACAAATGATCAATGGGCCGAGAAAGAAATCAGAGAAACAACACCTTTTACCACGGCCACAAATAATATACCTTGGGGTAACTCTAACCAAACAAGTGAGAGACCTGTATGACAAGAACTTTAAGTCTTTGAAGAAAGAAACTTAAGAAGATATCAGAAAATAGAAAGATCTCCCATGCTCATGGATAGGTAGGATCAACACAATAAAAATGGCAACCTTACCAAAAGCAATCTACAGATTCAATGCAATCCCCATCAAAAGCCCAACACAATTCTTCACAGATCTTGAAAGAATACTACTAAACTTCTCATGGAAAAACAAAAAACCCAGGATAGCTAAAAGAATCCTGTACAATAAAGCTACCTCTGGACTTAAAGTTACTGGTGGTGCACACCTTTGATCCCAGCACTCGGGAGGCAGAGGCAGGCCTATCCCTGAGAAGTTAGGTTAGAGGCCAGCCTGGGCAGCCAGGGCAGCCAGGGCTACACAGAGAAACCTAAACAAACAAACAAACAAACAATAAATAATAAATAAATAAATGTGGCCATCAGTGGAACTCATTATCCACAAACTCCTGGGCTAAAATACACCCACAACTAGTAAGAATTTAGTCCCCAGAATGTAAGGGTTCAGCCAGTCATCTGAATTGCTGAGGCATCCCACCCTAGTTTACACAATCTTGATCCTAACCAGAACTGACCAGACCCGGAGGGCAGCAGAGGACCTCCTTCAAGTATTACAGTGAGGTGGTTTCTAGTTACGTTAGAAGTCGTCACAAACTCGGAAAAGACAGCCGATGAGAGGAGCAGATACCTGAACTCCTAAAAATGCCATCACAATGGAGTTGATAGTCCCTAGGATCCCTTCTGGGTCGTAGGCCACCTCGGTGCGATAGAGGACCTTAAAGAAACAGAACACAACTCTCAGACAGAATGCAAACTTGAACACATTTCAATTGTTGATGCTTTTTACCCACCCCCTCCCTCCCTTCCTCCCTTCCTCCCTCTCTTCTTCCCTTCTTCCCTCCCTCCCTTTTTGCTTTGTTTTTTGCTTTTACAGCAGAAATTCATGGGCAATTTATAGGCATCATAGGAAAAGTAAGCCATGATGCTGCTCAGACACATTATCACATCTGGCCAAGAGTGTTGGACCACGTTTAACCAAATACAAATGCCTAACGGGACAGGAATTCCATGTTCATTCCATTGTAGCCAACCCCACTGTAGCTTCAACAGCTCCTAACCTTCTTTCCAGGCAAATTAACATTTAATAAAACATCTGGGAAGAGGGAGTGGCCCAGTGGAAGAGTGTATGCTTAGCAATCAGAAGGCCCATGTTTTAATCTCTAACACTACAAATAATTAGTCAATTAAAATAAAACATTTGTATTTTTAACACGAGATTCTAGAACTATGGAAATGTACAGTGTATCCTCAACCACTGCAAGGCCTGAAAGACTCATCCCCAGCTACTAGAAATATTGATTGTTAAAAGGTCTCAGTCAAGACCCTTGTCCAGGGTCCTTGACCAAAGAGAGCTGCAGGGTGAGGCTACAGTTCGCTGGGCCCTGAGTTCGATCCCAGCAACATAAAACAAGAAAAAAAGAAAGCATGGGAATTTGTCTTTCCAAACTGTTCCTGGGCTGCGGACAGTCCACATCCAACAAGGAACATGTGGGACCCGCCCCTCACCCTCAAATGCCACCTCAGCTGCACAGAGAGTAACTGAGCCCTGAGGAGACAGTCACAGGCGGTTCAATCCCTCAGCTGCTTCCTCCCAGGGACTAACTAACCCAGTGGGGACGCCTCGCGCACATCCTGCATTCTAGTCCCTGTCTCCGGAGTCTGGGGCTGGAGACCTCAAGAGCTAAATAAAGTGCTACTTGTTTTATATGGTTCATTCTCTCTCCACAATCAAAAATACCCTCCCCACCAACAGAGTGAACATGGGAGGCATGAAGGCAGCCAGTTTTCTAACAACCGCAATTCCCACCACACTGTCCTTAGATGGTGTCAAACTGGCTAGGTCTTCCCTACTTCCCTACTTTCCAGTTCCAAGAACAGGAAAGGCTCACTCACAGCAGAGGATGGGTGCTGGTACAGATGACTGTCTCCCAGAAGCACGCGGTCGATGTAGCCAGCTGCTCCTCCAGTACAATGAGGGTACTTCCCCAAGTCCCCAATACCGCCAGGGCCGAGGTAGCCGCTAAGGAAGTGAAAGACATACTTAATTGAAAGGACCGCAGAAGGGACAGTGCTGAGCAGTGGCGGTCCCCACAGGACAGATCCAAACGGGCCCACGGCAGCCCCTGACCCCTCAACTCCTGTCCCAGTTCTCTGACCAGACAGCAGCTGCCATCACTGGAAGGCAGGTCCGCTTTCTACTCAGGGTGACGCTGAGAGACTCAACCCTCTTCTCCATGTGAAGAGAGCCTCAAAGGAGGGGAAAGTGTGAGAGAATTCCTGTGACTAGAGACATTTCGATGCTGTAGGGCCTTACTTCTGACTCGGCAGAAAGGGATTTACTGGAAGGAACTACCACAGCCGAGGGACAGCTCAGTCAGAAAAGTGCTTCCCTGTAAGTCTGAGGACCGGAGTTGGATTCCAGATCCCACATAAGGGGAGTGGGGGAAGGAGAGAGAGAGAGAGAGAGAGAGACAGAGACAGAGAGAGAGACAGAGAGAGAGACAGACAGAGAGAGAGAGAGAGAGAGAGAGAGACAGAGACAGAGACAGAGACAGAGAGACAGAGACAGAGAGAGCGAGCCAGCCAAGCCATGCATTGGGGCTGGAGGGATGGCTCAGTGGTTAAGAACACAAGCTGCTCTTCCAGAGGACCTGGGTTTGATTCCCAGAACCCACATGGAGGTTCCAGTTCTGGGGATCCCATGCCTCCTTCTGGCCTCCTCGGGCGCTGCATGCACATGGTATGCAGAGATACATGCAGGCAAAACACTCACACACATAAAGTAATTTTTTATTTAAAAAAATGAAAGCCATGCATGGTGGCACACACTTGTAACACCAGCCCTGGAGAGGTGGGGATAGGTGGATCCTTGGGACTCCCTGGCCAGCCTACCTGACAAACCCTGTGTCTCAAAAAAAAAAAAAAAAAAAAGAATGGCGACTGAGGAATACTACCCGTCCTCCAGCCTTCAGATGCATATACATGTACCCCCCGCCATATGCACTCACATGCACACACATGCACTCCCACACACAAACAGGAGCACACACACACACACAGGGATTACCTGGCAAGGGGTCACTTACGTAGGGCACCCAGGGACAGGTAAAAAGAACGTCAAAGCCAGCCAAATGCTTTCCAGCATCAGAATGACAAGCCACTGGGGCCAGCTGGAAGTGATGTCTCGAAGAGAAAGGCAGCTTCTCTCCTGAGAGGCAAGAACAGGGCATGTGAAGCAACAGTGGACCTGGGAAATGCCTAGTGATTGGTTTGGGGCCTTTATAGCAGAATGAATTAAAAAAAATCATCTGAGGCCGGGTGGTGATGGTGCACGCCTTTAATCCCGGCACTCGGGAGGCAGAGGCAGGCGGATCTCTGTGAGTTCCAGGACAGGCTCCAAAAGCTACTCAGAGAAACCCTGTCTAGAAAAACAACAACAAAAAAAATCATCTGGCATTGAGATCCTAAGGACCCCATCCAAGCCCAGAACAAACACGAAGGGCCGGTGTGTGGCCTGTAACCCTAGTGTAGAGGCCTCGGCTCACTAGCCAGCAAGCCTAGACTATTTGGTTAGGTCCAGGCCAGTGAAAGACCCAATCTCAAAAAGAGAACATGTGGGCCCCAAGGGTGTTCTCTGGCCTGCACACACAATCTGATCTAACAGTGTGAGGCACAGTGGCTCCTGAGAGGTAGAGGCAGATGGATCAGGAGTTGAAGGTCAACCTTGAGCACCATAGTGAGTGTGAGGCCAGTCTAGACCACACAGGCCCTATCTAACACCAAACCAAACCCCACCCAACATGATCTAACATGTGTGATGATGTCTGATGTTCCTGTACTCTGAAATATCACAGTAAAACATTAGTTAGAAATACGTGGGTGGGAGGGTTAGCTCAGTGTAGCACACTTCCCCAGCACATGTGAGGCCCTGGCTTTAATCCCTAGTACTACATCAAGAAAAAAAAAGAGAGAAAGAGGGCATGGTGTTGGTGGTGCACACCTTTGGTCCCAGGACTCAGGAGGCAGAGGCAGGAGGATCTCTGTGAGTTCGAAGCCCAGCTTGGTCTACAGAGTGAGATCCTATCTCACTGCCACAAAAACCAAACAAACAAAAGGAAACAATTAATGGAAACAGAAAAAGTACTTTCTTAGCAGAAGTTCAGTGGTACACTATGTACTATAAAAATTCAGAAAACTAAATGAGCTGGATTGGGTTACATGGTGTATAATTCCAAAAAGAATTAATTAAAAAAAAAGATAAAGAAAAGAAAATTCAGGAAACCATACCATGAATTTCCCCCTCATGTAAAGAATAGGATTTCTGGGGATAAGAAGGCAGGTGGGTCAGTAGGGGACCATGGTTCCATCCCAGGAACCCATGTAAAGGAGGATCCCTAGGGTTCACTGGCCAAGCAGCCAAGCCTACCCAAGGAGTTCCAGGCCAGTGAGAGACCTGACTCAGAAAGAAGGTGAACAGTACCTGAAAAACGGCCCGCAAGGCTCCCCGCCTCCACCCCGCACACAGGTAAGATTCTCACCAAGGTACAAGTGTCAGGGACAGGCTTTGAGAAGGTGAGCTCCAACACAGCAACCACAAAGTACGTCACTCCCAAGCGCTGCAGGACACCGGGGATCCGCACCTTATCCCAAGACACTGCCAAAGACACAAGCCACCCAAGGCTAAGCCAGCACGGGGCATCTTACCCCGAGACAGTACTGTCTCCAGCCGGGGAGCCATATCTATGTCATCTGTAAGTGAATTATCATAGCTGGTGAATACATGTGCGCTGAGGACATGGCGCCCTCTGTAAACAAGCCGCCAGCCAGTAGGGGGATAAAGCAGGGCCTCCCTGGGGCACTGAATCCAGCTCCTAGCCCTTTCCTATTAGGAATATGGATAAGACCCCCATATCACCAGAAACATGCAGGCCAAACCCAAGCCCGTGCTCACCCTGTACAACAGGTTACAGGCTGGGTCCGGGGAGAGAGCAAACCTATAGCAAACCCTATAATGGTTCCCCTGAGGTTGGGAAGAACACCACTTCATGTGGAATACAGCAAAATGCTCTCTCTCTAAGCCAGAGGTTCTCAACCTGGGGGTCGATCAACCCTTTCATAGGGGTCGCCTAAGACCATCGGAAAACACAGATATTTACATTATGATCATAACAGTAGCAAAATGACAGTTATGAAGTAGCAACGAAAATAATCTTATGGTTGGGGGGTCACCACCATATGAGGAACTGTATTAAAGGGTCCGCAGCAAGAGGAAGGTGGAGAAGCGCTTAGGTTTCTAGGCACTTCCTGCCCGAGGGCTAGACTTGGCTGATGTGCAAGTATCTGCTCTCCTTTGCCAGAGACGAGGCAAGCCCCCAGGACAGTAACTGCTGCTTTCCCCGTGTATCTGGTACAGAGCAAGGAGCTCAGATCCTCTGTCACTGCCTGGTGTCTCTGAAGAGCACAGAAGCAAGGAGAAGAGTCCCCTTCCCAGCAGCACAGCTGACACACAGACAAGGACAGAGTCTTTTTCCTTTTGTTTTGTTTTGTTTTTTTTGTTTTTTGAGACAGGGTTTCTCTGTGTAGCACTGGCTGTCCTGGAACTCGCTCTGTAGCCCAGGCTGGCCTCAAACTCACAGAGATCCACTGCCTCTGTCTCCCAAGTGCTGGGATTAAAGGCGTGCGCCATCGCACCCAGCAAGGACAGATTCTTAAACTAAGAGTCCGTGGGTCCAAAAGGGCCAGGAGACAGAGTCGGAGAGCAAAGTGACCTTGGTATTTCCTCCTCTGTGCCTTCATACATGGACATGACCCAGAAACAAGACTTCGACCTCACTCAGCCTGACTTTCCTTTTGGGTCACAGGAATTGAAGTAGTCACAGAGGTGCCTCCCATTACTAAATTTCCAAGCTAAGTGTAATAATGCTCAATAATATACAAGCAGTACACATACTCTCTAATAATTAGTCCTTTGGGAGGGATCCGGGATGGAAGAATTACATTAGATTATGACATGTGGGGCTCAGTGGCCAAAAGCTTGCCTAGCATGTACAAGGGCCTGGGTTTGATCCCAAACACTGAAAGTGTGTGTGTACGTACGTGTACACACACACACACACACACACACACACACACACACACACACACACACACACACACGTCTATAATATGCATGGACATATGTAAAACAAGTCTTTCCCATAGTCCAGCCTGACTATATATAAACAAAGGGGCAGAGATACTCACATGGACCAAGGCAATAATTGGGGTTGACAACGATAATTCCTATACAGATTAGCAGGAAACTTCTCCATGCAATTTTCCCCAGCAGTCTGACTTTTGAAGATCCTCGTTGTAGGACAGAGGTCATTGACAAGAAAGTTGAAGTTCCCATAATAAATACAAACCTAAAAAGAAAGGCTATTGGTAGGTAGCCATTTCCAATTTTTATACATGTATCTGTAATATCTTATAGGAGAGAGGTGACATGCTATCCATCCACAGCAGCCAATCACAGAAACAGTGTCATAATATGGGGGGGAGGGGGGAACCAGCTGGGAATTTTGATAGGACATCTTCAAGTCCTGCTGTAGGAGGGAAACTGACTAATAGTAAGTGAGGTTTCCATGGACAACCCTGCAAGCTTTATAAGAGAAGAAAGCTATGGACACTGGGATCCAAGGGGCTTGCGTTAACACGCCACCCAAGTCCTTCAGAAACAAAACATCCGAATCTTTCCTTCTCCTCAAAGAAAAAAAGTTTGTTTCTCTCTCTGTCTCTGTCTCTGTCTCTGGCCATTTGGTAGGAAGGAGTCACGTGTTCAGTCGGTCCCCATTTGGTGGGGTTTTCAGAGATCACGGGACCTTCTGGACACCAGGCCTACGGGGCCGGCACAGGGCTGCAGCGTGGGGCTAGAGGACCAGAGCGGCCCTCCCTCTTCCTGCCACGAGACTCGGCTTCCTGCTTGGTTCTCAAGTGTGAGAAAGCTGCCTCCTCCCATTTCCACGGCTACACAACCCTGAGCTAAAGTAACTTCTTCCTCTAAGTTGCTTTTGTGAGGTATTTCGTCCCACTGAGGAGAAAAGTAACCAATATAAAACCACAGTATATTCTTCTAGTTCTTGGCTCAGAGCTAGGGACACGCAGCTTGCCCTGGCCGCCTCCCAGGGTCCCCTGGCTTCCCTTCCAGGGCTTAGCTGTCTCATGGAGCAGCATGCTGAAGTCATTACCAGATCTCAGGCAAACAATACTCCCTATCCAAATCCTCTAGAAAAACAACCCAAATATGTCTCCCCAAACCTTGAGTGTATGGTAGTCACAAAACATGGGAGTGCCCACATCTGAGACATTGTCCCGGAACCGTCCCCGATGACGAGGCACCAGAGATGCCCAAAGCCTTGGGGTCAACACAAGTGCGGCACCATACAGGAAATACGCCTTGACAAGACCGGGAGTCCACTAGGGAGAGTGTTTTTCCTCTACTCCTGCACCGGTTGATAAATAATGACGCTTTTTGTCTGTGTCAGGCGGAATCAGCTGACGCCAGCGACTCAATCCCTTGTAGAACTCTACTAAAGATTTCTGTAAAGCATCCCATCCCTTCCGCATTGGTGCTGTTCAAGAAACGCGGAGTGAAGTCCCATGTTAGGGAGACACACAGCACCCACAGACAGAAATGGACAGTCACACGACAGGCAGACAGAGGGACAGACACAGCCTTCCAGCAGGCATGGGTTCAGACTCCAGCAATAGACACACAGGAGATGGCAGCCAATGAGGAGGAGATTTCAAGTCTGGGCTCGCCTGTGGTTAAATGACTCCAGGGGAAGGGGAAGTGCTGTTGTCTATTTCTGTTATTATCAGTGTCGGCGCCTGGAGTCCATCACTAACACGTCTAACCCTCACAGTATAATGTCAGCTCACCATGGGAAGACGAGGTCGGCCACAGTCAGTCCTGCGAAATGACGCGAGAACAAGCAGTGAGAAAGAGATAAATACTTCCCAATTCCAGAACGGGTACGTTTCCCCCGCGTATTTCCACAGAAAGTACAACCCACAGACAGGAGCCACATACAGTCCCCGGGCCTGGGGCCGGGGAGGGCTCCCTGATCATAAACCATTCAACTAGATGTCTGTGGACGGGTTTGTGACCTCCCAGGAGTACTCGTCAAAACCTATTCCCTCCTTCCACCAGACACCCATGTCTTCCGGCAGAATGTCCAGCAAGGATCGTAACGGAAACCACTGAGTCACACAAGAGAGAAGCCGGTGTTTAGGGATGGGTGGGAGACAGGACTCTTGTTTTTTTTGTTTGTTTGTTTTTTTTTGTTTTTTCGAGACAGGGTTTCTCTGTGTAGCTTTGCGCCTTTCCTAGAGCTCACTTGGTAGCCCAGGCTGGCCTCGAACTCACAGAGATCCGCCTGCCTCTGCCTCCCGAGTGCTGGGATTAAAGGCGTGCGCCACCAACGCCCGGCAGGACTCTTGTTTTAAATGCTTCTGTTAACCTTGTGTATTTATTTATGGATGGGGAAGCATGTGCAGAGAGAAGTCAGAGGACAACTTATAGGAGTGTGGGTCCTGGGGACTGATCTCAAGTTGGCAGCCAGCACCAGAGTCTTGGTTTACACCTGACCTCAGCCAAAAGGCCACGTAATAACTCTTGTTTTCAGTAGATAACTTAAGTACAATTCAGGTTCTACAAGCATCTGGACTCTAGGTCTGAGTACTGATCTGCATCAGCTGCACACTCCGTCATCCATGCAAGGAACCTGGGTACCAGTGGTCAATCATAATGAATATCTTTTAGAGGCTTCTCGGACTTTTACAGGACAAAAATATTCTGTAATTATATTGTAGAATTATACTGTAAAAAACATTTATTTTTACAAAAGAAAATATTCTGTCTGGCCAGAATAAAGACAACTAAAAGTTCTCAAAAGTCTGTGTCTCTAATGATCAGGTATTCCATGCCATTTTCCTGGTTCTAAAATACCCATTGTCCAGCAACTACCCACCCAGATTTATAGCTATTATCAAGTGCCACTCAGACTCAGTGGAACCCCAGGAAGGACTCTAAGTCTTAGAAGAGGCAGACACCCCAAGAATACGGTAGCTCTGCTATCTACACTGTAACAATGATGATGTAAAACCAAGTCTTACATTGCCCACAGAGACCCGAAGTCTCACAGCAGAAAAATCCAGTCTTTGTGTTATTACAGAGAATCACTCTAGATCCACGGGAGAACAAAACCAAAGGGCTCTGAGTAAGCCCAGGGTGGTTCTACGTGGGCTGGGAGGGCCCTGGTGGGGGCCCACAGGAATGTTGAGCCATCCTCTGGTCCAGTTCTGGGGGTCGGGGGGTGAGGCTGGGGGACTGGCAGCTTACCATTCCAACTTGAATGTTTGAAGTACCAATATTTTCCTCCTCCATAATTCACGAAGACCATGACGATGAGCGCTATCCTGTAAGGCAAACAAATGAAGGGCGTGTGACCACAACAAATCCGTAAGTGCAGACAGACACTTTCAGACAAGGGGCGTCACATAACAGTGCGACTCTGCAGAGCAATCTGTGACACAAGCAGAGGATGTAAGATGATTATCTGGTGCTCACTATGAGGGACCACGTGATGACATTCTGTCACCAACATTTCTAACAATATCTCATGAAAAATGTACACTTGGGCTGGAAATATGGCGCAGCTAGTGAAGACCCTCACTACATGCCTAAAGACCACAGCCCCACATAGCAGAAGGGGAGAATTCAGTCCGGTAAGCTGTCTCTCACCTCCACAGATGCGCCATGACCAGGAATCCCCAACTAACACACACACACACACACACACACACACACACACACACACACACACACTCTTAAAAAAAAAACTTCACTGGGTGATGGTGGCACAGGCCTTTAATCCCAGCACTCCAGAGGCAGAGCCAGGCAGATCTCTGTGAGTTCGAGGCCAGCCTGTTCTACAAAGTAAGTCCCAGGAAAGGCGCAAAGCTACACAGAGAAACCCTGTCTCAAAAAAAAAACAAAAAACAAAAAAACAAAAAACTAAACAATTTTTTTTTTTAAAGATAGAGTTTCTCTGTATAACTGTCCTGTCTATCCTGGAACTCACTTTGTAGATCAGCTGGCCTCAAACTCACAGAGATCCGCCTGCCTCTGCCTCCTGGGTGCTGGGATCAAAGGCGTGCGCCACCATACCCTACTTATGCTACTGAATTTTATGATCTGAAAACAAAGGGATATGTTTCCAGTAATGCGACTTTTAAAATTATTTTGGTATCTCAGGCTGACTGTCACAGAAGGCAGAGAAGCCTAGGACTCAGAAAACGGAAGGTCCAAAGCTCGAGTCTTGCTTTCTTGTTAGGCACATCCTAGGCACTTAATGCTGGTTTCTGTCCTGCTATATGAAACTCTTATCTCCAAGTGTCAATGAAGACGGAAAAAGAATACACTCAATGGACTCTGAACAGGCTATCCTTTGTAGCTCTCCTGAGAAGGAACACACAGACATGCTGAGACATCTACCTGCCTGTGTGTGCCTTGTGACAGAAGCCTAACTCTCCCACTTATCGGCGCAGTGAATGAGAAAGTTATTTAACTCAGTGGTCCTATTTCTCCAGCTGTGAAACACACCTATGTGTGCAGGCCCACAAAGGTTTCCTAGTGAGATCGGAGCTTGCTTTACCCAGCAGGGCTGCATTAGAGGATTGCTTGACCACATGTGTGGTCACCAGGTTGGGTAGGGTCTGCACTTGGCTGTGCTAGGGGAGGTCTTTTGCTCCACCCCTTGGTGTTTCTATAAAAGGCCCTTTAGAAGATACAGAAGGGGCCAGTGGATATTGGTCCAGGCCCTCCCGAGGCTATCCTGTGTTTCTGTTCCTCTCCCCTCTATATTTCTACCTAATATCTCTTATCCCTCTCTCCTCAAGAGTACCCTGGGGAAAGAGTGGGGGTGGGTCCCCCCACACCTATGAAAAGCACACGCGTCCGTGATGCCATGGGTGGGACGCACCACTCTGTTGTCGCGACAGCTTGGTAAAAATGCAGGTGCTGCCGGTGGTGATGCAGTCTTTGCTGTCCTTGAGTAGAGCCTGCTATGAATCCCAGCATGCCTCACTCTGCCCCAAAAGACACAAACAAACAAACAAACAACCCACAGGCACAGTAAAAGTCCTGTTTAAGGTCGCTTTCAGGCCATGCATGTGGGATACAGGAGAGAAAAGTAACTTTGTGCTTAGACCTGGGTCCCAGTCACAAGATTTCTCAGTGGTAACATTCAAACACTCGGAACTCTGAAACACTTCCGGCTCTAAGGATTCTGGATAGGGGCAGCTTATCCCAACACAGGACCCGGCACCCGTTTATCTAAGGGGGTCCTCAGGACTCGAGTCTGGGAAGGAAATGTGGGGCTACTGGCAGAAGCCAGTCCTTCTCAGATGGAAGAAATTGAAGAGTTGACACTGTGTATCTGGTTTTGGGCTGCACAGTTATCTACTTTGTCAGAGTTTGGCCTCTGCCCTTCTACCAGAAGCACATTGTGACAAGTTACGACATGACTGTGGATCTACCATCAGAGGGCTTGCTATTCAAGGCGCTCTAGTATTCAAGGGTGGGAGGCAGCTGTGGGCTGGCATACCTTCCAGCTGCTTCTTCCTAGACACAGTGAGACAGGGTGGCCCGAACACAGCCACTTGCCCAGGCTACTAACCACACTAGGGGAAACTGTTCTGATATGTTCCTCCATTCTTCTCTCTTAACCTCAGGAAGACCTCGTCTTTTGTTTCACTTTTTCTGTTTGCTTTCTGTGGTGCTGGGGAATGACCTCCGAAGGACTAAGTAAGTGGTTTGCCTATGCTCCGGCCCCTTATCACGACAAGTCCAAGGAAAGAGGCTGCAGACACGACTTTTCCTTTTTGGTTTTTGATAAAGGGTCTTGTTAGGTGTCCCAGGCTGGCTCTGGATTCTCAGCAATCCTTTTGCCTCAGCCTGAGTGCTGAGTGCAACACTCCACCAGCGTAGAAAATTAAAAAATATGCCAAATACCTTCAGCTAAAAAACGGGCTTGTGTGGGACTACAAAATCTGACATGGACCCGTCCCCACCAGGTTGGGAGCCCCACTTACCCCCTAAAGGTGTCCACACTTCGGAGACGGTGTGGCAAGGCAGATGTGCGGCGCGTCTCTGGTTGGCAGTCCCCACTGAGAGGGTCTGCTCTGCTGGGGGATCCTAGCTCCTTCCAAACAAAGAGATGGTACTTAATGAGGCTAAGGAACAGATTTCATTATTTGACATTTCAGCAAAGAAACTAGAGCGGAAAAGCAAGGGGAACTTTGGGACAACAACTTGGTTTTGTAAGGGTCCCATTCAGAGGTTTGATTCTCCGCTTTATTCGCATTTTTATGCCCTTTGCTGAGTTTGCTGGGAGTCACGTTGCCAGTGACACAAAGAAATGGCTCTGGGGCCGAGGGTGGAACTCAGCAGCACAGTGCTTGCCTACCACGCGAGAGATCGCATGTTCAGCCCCCTGCACCAAAAAAATAAGGTGCGAGCTGGTTTTTCAGTTGTCCAGAACCGACATGGACACAAGCGTCACAGTATATCTAGTCGTCGCAATGGCCCTTGGCATCTACACATTTAATACTGGTGTTTCAGCTCATTTCCCAACAGGGCTGGCTGCTTAGTGAAAAGTGTACATCTTAAGGCAGCCCAGGCTTCCACCCTCACTGAGAAAGAGATGGGTACAGGACCTCCACAGAAGCTGAGGGCAGGGCTACTCTTTATCAAGGACACATGTCGGGGGCTAGCAAGAAGGCCAAGTGGCTGCTGTGCAGACCTCACAACTGAGCCCACCGTGGAAGGAGGAGGAGATCTACTTCCAAAGGTTGTCTTCGGAGCGCCACATGCAGGCATCGCACATGCATGCACACACTCACACCCATTGGTCTCTCTCATACACATGCATTAATAAATAAGTAATAAAATAGAGAAGAGACGTGAGGGGGCTGGGACGCCTGGAAAGGTGCTTGCCTAGCATGTTTGAGGCCTTGGGTTTGATTCCCCGTACCACATAATCAAACAAGATGACATATGCCTGTAACCTCATGCCTCAGGAGGTGGACAGAAGGAGGATCAGGAGTTCAAGGCTATCCTCAGTTATATACTACATAGAACGTTAGAGGTCAGCCTAAGCTATGGGACCCTGTCTCCTCAGGAGAGAGAATGAAAAAGAAAAATGAAACAGGTAAACAAGTAAGCAGGCAGCAATTCTGGCTTACTCTGACAATCCCACACGAGGGGACTGTCAGACAGGAAGAGGAATCCAGGTCCCCATGAGGAATGGTGCTCCATGTGGAGTCTGGGCAGCATGCACAGGCCCGGGGTTAGGAACTCAGCACAGGGAAAACATTCAGGACACACAGTCTGGCTTTCCACGATATAATTAAAGTGTATTCAGCTGGATGATGATGCTCACTAAAAGGGAAATTATCAATTCAAATCCAGAAAAACCTCCCAGACAACACATGTAAACTCGAATAACTCACAGAATTGATGAGGCGGTCAGTTTCTCGAGAAGTTATTGCCTTAGAAATCCAATTACTGAAGTCATCCAAACTGTATTTTAAAAAAAAAAAGCCTCCATTAGTTTTCTTTCTTGAATGGTAATATCTTCAAAGTGACTAGATATTAAAATAAAATTTAAGTTCCATAAACTTTATGAAAGTCTTTTAAGAAATGGCAGAATAGAGATCCAAGTGTGCAGGAGCCTCATGAGTTAATGAGAATAATGGTGGAGATTCAAAGAGCTGTGAAAATCTCATCAGACAGTGCTCTCTGCCACCAGGGCGCTCTCTGCCACCAGGCTTCTGACTGCTATTAAAATCAGAGGTGAAGCACACGGCAACAATTATGACCACGCAACCCAGGAATGACTCCACAGAACACACAAGAGATGGGCAATTACATACAAAAGCAAAAAGCACCGTCTATGTGACTGCAACTACATACAAATGCACACGTGCACACTGCAGCTACATACAAATGCACATGTGCACACTGCAACTACATACAAATGCACACTGCGGCTACATACAAATGCACACGTGCACACTGCAACTACATACAAATGCACAC